TTTCTTCCCCCTGCTACTAATCTGAAGCACTTCTTTTCCTATGTAGTTCATTTTATTTTAGGGAGACTGAGTGTTTAGTTTTGTTTCTAGTTCATGAATGTATAGTACGTTTCCTCCCTTTTTGGGAATGGTGATACCCTTTTTATATATTAAATACAATACACTGAGTTATCATGGAAAATACAGTGTTGGAAAGAACTTCACCTTGTTAATGATTTTATCTAATCAAAATTAAAATAATTTATCCTTAAATTATTTCTTGGAAATCTTAACAAATTAATGCAGATTTCAAGATGGTTGTGTGTGCATATATGTGTAAAATGTATTTGGAACCTTAAAAATATTGGCGTCAGCTGCGTTTTATCAGAGGGTGATGATCTAAGTGACTATGATTTATCATTTATACTCAAAAATATAAAAGTTTTTTTCTATAGTTTTATTGAATTACACAGAAAAGTATACAAATATTAAGGATAGTGTTTGGTAAGTATATAATAAATATATAATACTAATATTGTAGAACATTACTACCACCTTAGTATTATTGCTAATGGAGCTAATGCCCATCTGTGTCATTAACCTTCCTGAGAGGTAAATACTATTCTCATTTGTATCACCATGGATTAGTTCGCTTATTTTTGAGCTTTAAAAAATTGTCATACATAATGTTCTCTTTTTGTCTACTATCTAACCTTTACATTGTGAGTTCATCCATATTTTTGCACAAAGCAATAGTTTTTCTATTGCTCCATGGTATTATATTAAGTGAATATACCATAAGTTACTCATTCTTACGTTAGTGGACAATTTTGGCATTTCCAGGTTGTGGCTATTATGACTAATGCTGCTAATGAACATTTTTGTACATGTTTCAAAACATCTTATCTGGAAACGTGAGAACAAATATTTTAAATTATTATATTGGTAGAAGGCAACGTAGAAGTCAATTTTTCTGATTTTTTTCCTATTAATATTACTATCATTGTTAGCAATAATAGTTGTGGTATTTAACATTTATTGAGGTCTTACTAGATAATTACACAGCTATTTTCATATCTTTTAATCCTCAAAACCATTCTCCAAGGTAATATATCATTAGGAATGTGTTCAGTCACAGATAACATCAACAAAAGTCATCTAACAACTGATTAAAGACGTATATAGTCATAGTCTACAGAATGTTGCCTTGTTAATATTTCTCTCTGAAACAGCTCTTTATTTTTAAATACCCAAACTTTATAGAAACTACTTATCTTTCAATACAACATTTTGTATCTATTGTATACAAAATGTGGAGGGTGGATTTTATTGCAAATTTGTTACAGATTGTCCAAATACAATTAGTAGAAAGTCAAAATCACACAGAATTTTTGAACTATGCAATGTGTCAAAAGAACGTATATGATTCTTAGATCGGCTCTTCTACTGAGAGGCATTACTGCATACTGCTCTGTGTAAGACCTCTGTCATTTTGCATTATTTATGGAGTGTGGTGCAACATGTAAACTATTAGTGCGTACAAAGCCACTGTTAAGCATAATTAAGAATTCTTCGGTGATCAAGAAGTAGGTATTTTAAGCATATTATCTTCTAGCATAGTAGTTTAATGTTTATACATGGGTATCTTACTGTATTTTAGTTACAGAACTATCTTCATATCTTTTGATAGGCAGACATTTAACAGGACATAGAAGAAAAACTAACCTTAAAAGATCAATAACCTGGACTGTGTTAAAATTAAAAACTCTGTTCGTCAAAAGATACTGTTAAGGGAGTGAAGTAGGGGTGCCTGGGTGGCTCAGGTGGTTAAGCTTCTGCCTTCGGCTCAGGTCATGATCCCACGATCCTGGGATCAAGCCCCGCATCGGGCTCCCTGCTCAGCGGGAAACCTGCTTCTCCCTTTCCCACTCCCCCTGCTTGTGTTCCCTCTCTTGCTGTCTCTCTCTTTGTCAATTAAGTCAATAAATAAAATCTTTTTTTAAAAAAAAAAAAGAGAGTGAAGTAGATATATATAGTACACACACACACACACACACACACACCACATCCTTGGTTATATATCCATCCCAATTCAAAAATATGCTACTGACTTGAACACGTACTTCAGAAATGAGGACATGCACATGGCCAGTAACATGAGAAGGTGTTGAACCTCATTAATCATCAGGGAAGTATAAATTAGAACCAGAATGTGATACTTCTACACATCCACCAGAATAGTGTAATGAAAAGATTGAGAAGTGAGTGGTTGGTGAATATGTGGAGGATATACTGCTGGTGGGAGGGGGTATATATTGATCTAACTATTTTGGAAAACGTTGGGCATTATCTACTGAAGATGAACACAAATATCTTATGATCCAACAACAGAAATGCACACGCATAGCAGTATTTTTATATCCTCAAACTGGAAACATCAAATGTCTATCAATAACAAATGGATAACTAAACCGGTATATTCATATGATAGAATATTATATAGAATGAAAATGACTTTCACAACCATATGGATGAATATAGAAATATAATACTGAACAAAAGAAATCAGACCTAAAGAAATGTATGGGTCATCCCATGTATATAAAGTTCAAAAACAGGTATAATCTATGGTGATAAAAGTCAGAAGAGTGATTACCTTTTCAAAGAGAATCTCATAGAAAGGGGGCACAAAGAATACTTAAGAGTTGCTAGTAATAATCCATTTCTTACTCTGGTTGGGTTTTAAATGGTTGCACTCATTGTGTGAAAACCAGAGCTGTACACTTAAAACGTGTGCCTTACTATATATAGTTTACTTCAGTGAAACCATTTAAATATTAATTTTTGCCAAACTTTTAGAGAAAAATGATTCTGTTATGTTGCTGCTTACTTTAAAACTTGAGTTGCGTAATAGTGTTCAGAAGTACTGAATGAATATTCCTATGTTTTGACAATCTAGATAGATTTATAAATTTCAAATTATTTTTAATAGGTGTGATAGTATATCTTAAAGCTTAATTTATGGGCCAGGATTATACCTTGAAATAGAATTACAGCTAGTAAGTTTTGAAAACAGATATATATCAGTTTTTAAGCTTATTTCTAACTATGTTCTAAAATAAAAGTCCTGAGTCATAATATTACAGAATGAGGTGAGATCCACATTTTGCAAACCTTTCCATTTATTTTACTGCTTTTTTATTGGATAAGCAAAAAAGGTACTGTGCTACAAGGATTAGTTGTTTGTAAGGCTAGAATATTTATCTGTAGAAAGTAAACTAAATGGAGCATTAGACCCTGATGTTTTCCTGGTATTCTCTGCATTTTGTCATTTATTACAGCATGAATCTAGAGAAACATTATTGGGATTTAATATGGTGAATTACAGAGCATGCAAAAATTTATGGAAAGCATGTGTAGAACATCACACATTCTTCCGTTTGGACAGACCACTTCCACCTCAAAAGAATTTTTTTGCACATTATTTTACATTAGGTTCAAAATTTCGGTACTGGTAAGTATTGCTTATGCATTAATGCTTTGTTATTGTATTTTTCCTCACTTTAAAATAAAGGTCTGTTTTAATCAATCATAGAATGTTTATAATTCGTACACACCTACTGAATCAAACTCTCTGGAGCGTGGACCCTATAGATCAGCAAAAAGTTCTAAAGGTTCTTGTGATTTAACCAGATGGAGAAACCTCTTCCATTGACTATATTTCAGATCATTATTTTCTAAAGTAAATTAATCATATTTAATTATTTATGTTCTAGACATGTTATGAATTCCATTGACTTTGTTAAATATTTAAAAGAAAACTTTTCTTTGTTCTAAGACATCTTTATTTGTAAAAGCAAAAGTGTCTTCTGCATGAGCATATAATTGCCAGTTTCACTATCCAAAAGTAGAATGTTCCTATGAAACCTTTTGTAAGCCAAATGGCGTGAAGAAGCCATTACCATTAATTTATATGGAAAAATTATTTTGCATTTTCAGACCCCAAGAATCACCTCTCATAGGACACATCTTGCTAACAAATGCACAAAATAAATTGAGAGGAAGCACAGATACTCAAAGACACAATTCAAAGCTCTGGTGGCTTAATGCGGAGATGCTGAGTGTACTTCATTGGAAGGAGCTTTGTGGGGTACTCTCACTGCTTGCGGTGTGCGCGGCCTCTACAGTGGCTTGCTACAAAACAAATGCTGAATGCTATTTTCTCCCCTTTTTTGTAAAAGCAGAGTGGCAATAACACAAACTTTGAAAAAGTGGGGGATAACTGTACTTTGCTTTTTTATGAATGAGTTTGTTAAACCCTTTGTTATAAAGAGTTCAACCAGCTATTATGCAAAAATCACATTTAGTCATTGAACAATAACCCCAGATTCCTTTTCCTAAAACTGTCTTATTTATTCTTGATAGCTTTTATTTTTTCCTGAAGGAAAGTCTTTGAGGGATAATTCTAAATTTGGAGAAGTTCTGATTAATTTTGCCTCTGGAATTCTAAAAAGATCCATGAAAGCTAGTTTTTAAGTGCAACCTGGTAAGAATCACATAGCAAAGTCATTCATAATCTTCTACTAAAACAAATGTTATCCATTTCTGTTTTTGCTTCACAAAAGATTTTCCATCTTCAGTAAATAAAACCTTTTATCATTATGTGTTAGATTAATTCATGTTATATATTCATGTAGAAAATATTTAAATGTGGCCCAGAAAAGATATATATTGTAAATCTCAAACATTTATAAATGCCCAATTTGTAATCTCAGAAAAAATAACAGTATAATGCTTTTAATATACTGTTAAAAATATATGCCCCCCCCAAAAAAAAGCCCCCAAATTCAGTGGCAACACTTAAACAGAACTAGGAAACTTTTAACCACAAAAATGGCACAGCAGATTCTTAAGTGGTGTCATGTTTAACTCTTCTATAACCTTCCTAAAAGCAATTTTGAGAAAATTAAGGTGATGGTACTCATAAATTTAAAAATAGACAGACTGATGGGGCATCTGTGTGGCTCAGTGCGTTAAGCTTGTGACTCTTGATCTCAGAGTCATGAGTTCAAGGCCCGCACTTGGCTCCATGCTGGGTGTGGAGCCTACTTGGATGGATGGATGGATGGATGGATGGACGGACGGACGGACGGACGGACAGATGGATGGACAGATGGGCTGGGAGAACAGTCCATTAGATCACTGGTAAAAGTCAAGAAAAAAATAAAAAAGCCTCCTTATCTAAATCTCAGGAGGGGCAGAAGAAATCTCCATTGAGAAAATAGTGTAGACCATAACAGTGGTCCCTCAATAAACTTAATTATTAATTAAGTGACCGTTGGGGTTATTATCTAAGGACTACACTTATCTTTAGCAGAATTTTTCCTTCCCTCTGTCCTTGAAAATATGACATATACATAAATGTACACACACCATTTCTTTTAGACAACAGAGAAATGCATAGAATGTAGTAACCTGCCTTCAACTGTAATTCACATTGGTATCAGATACAATGAGAAAAAAATCAAGGATTTTACCCAATCTATACCACAGCAAACAAAATCTAGTCACAATGACAAGTACAAAAGACAGTTAAAGAAACCAGTTTGGGAGAAAAATCACTGAAACAGAATGAAATTTCAACCACAGAAGTTAATAAAAACAAGCTAAAGAACAATCTAAGAAAAAAATATTGGCAGGGTGAGGAGCAATACCTGCCATTCAGGCTGTTATTGCCCTTGAGAGATTATGGGCCTAGTCCTAGCAGATTTTATATTTTTAAACAGCTTTGTTAAGGCATAATTGGTGTACAATAAGCTACCATATTTAACATCTAAAATTTGATGTTTGGAGATATATTTACATCCCTGAATCCATCACCATAATCAAGATAGCAAGCATATCCTCCCCCATTTTTCCCTTATGCTCCTCTGTAACCTCTTTCTTCCACCCTTCTTTGTCCCCATGCAACCACTGATCTGCTTTCTGTCTCTATAAATTGGTTTGCATTTTATCGGATTTTATATAAATTGAAACATACATGTTACATACTCTTTTTAGTCCAGCCTCTTTGATTCAGCATAATTATTCTGAAATTCATCCATGTTGTTGTCTGTATTGGTGGTTAGTTTCTTTTTATTGTGGAGTATAATTCCACTGTGTAGATACATCACAATATGTTAATCCATTCACTTGCTTATGGATATTAAGTGATTGTTGTTTCCCCATTTGGATTATTTACAGGTTTGAGCTATTACAAATAAAGCTGCTGTGAGCATTCATGTAGAAATATTTATATGGTTTAACTTCCCTTGGTTAAATACCTGTGAGTGGAACGGCTAGATTACAAGGTAGATGTATGTTTAACTTTGCAAGAAACTGCCAGTCATTTTTTCAAAGCGGTTTTTACCATTTTATGTACTCATCAGCTGTCAGAGTTCCATTACATTTTCATTAGTGCCTGTTGTTACCTCTTCTAAAGAGTTCACAATTTTGATGAAATTTAATTTACTGTTGTATTCTTTCATGGATCTTTCTTTTGTGTCATAGCTAAGAAATCTTTGCCTAACCCAAGCCTGAAAAGATTTATTCCTCAGTTTTCTTTTAAGAGTTTTATAGTTTTAGTTCTTATACTTAGATCTGTGATCCATTTGGAAATAATTTTTGTGTGAAGTATATACAAAAGCTATATAAAGTTCATTTTTTTTGCATATGGATAGCCAGTTGTTCCACCACCATTTTCTGCAAAGATTACCCTTTCTCCACTGAATTGCCTTTGCCCCTTTGTTGAAAATCAGTTTTCAGTATTTGTGTGGACTTATTTTTGGATTTATTTATAAGTCTTAAAGTATAGTAGTATTAGTCCTCCAACTTTGTTCTTTTTAAAAGTTGTTTCAAATGTTTTAGGTCTTTTGCATTTTCATCTGAACTTTAGAACTAGCTGATCAGTTTCTACAAAAAAGACTTCTTAGGGGGGCGCCTGGGTGGTTCAGTCAGTTAAGTGTCCAACTCTTGATTTCGGCTCAGGTCATGATCTCCGGGTTGTGGGATGGAACCCCACGTGGGGCTCTGCGCTGGGCATGGGGCCTGCTTGAGATTCTCTCTCTCCCTCTCCCCTCTCCCTCTGCCTACCTCCCCACTCCCGCTCATGTACAGAAGTTTTTATTCAGGTTTTCTCTCTCAAAAAAACAAAACAAAACAAAAAAACCCACTTCTTGGATTTTAATTAGGATTATGCTGAAACTATAGATCAATTTCAGGAGAACTGACATCTTAAAAATATTGAGTTTTCAAACTCATGAAACATGGTATGTCTTCTACTTATTTAAGCTGTCTTTTACTTCTCTCTCTGTTTGTAGTTTTTCAGTGTACAGGTCTTTCACAAATTTACAAGTTTCACAGGTCTATGCTAAATTTATCCTTAATTTCTTGAGGTCTTTTTAAATTTTAATTTCATACTGTTCACTATTAAGCAGAAATGCAATTGATTTTTTTTTCTTTTTTTTAATGTTTAGTGAGACCTTGGTTACCTCACTTATTCTAGGAGCTTTTTTGTAGCTTCCAGCAGATTTTCTACCTAGAGGACAAAGGCAGTTTTAATTCTTCCTCTCCATTCTGATCCTTTTTATTTCTTTTTCTTTCCTTATTCCCCCAGCTAGAACCTCCAGTACAGTGCTGAATAGAAGTGGTGAGAATAAATATCCTTGTCTTTTCCTTATCTTGGGAGGGGGGTAGATATTCAACCTTTTGCTATTAAGTACGATGTTAGTTGGAGGCTCTTCATAGAAGCTGTATATAATGCATGTTGAGGCAGTTCCCTCTACAGCTCATTTGCTGGAAGTTTTTGTTAGGATTGGATATTGGTTTTTGACAAATGTTTTTTCTGCAGCTATTACAAAGATTATATGGTTTTTCTTTTTAATTTGTATGATGAATTACATTGAATTTCAAGTGTTAACCCCACCCCACATTCCTAGGATAAACCCCATTTGGTCATGATCTGTTATCCTTTTTCTATGCTGTTTTATTTAGTTTGCCAAATTTTTGTTTACAATTTTTACATCAGTGTTCATGAAGGATACTGCTCTGTAGTTTTCTTGTAATATCTGTGTGAGGTTTTGGTGTCAGGGTAATTTTGGCCTCACTGAATGAGTTGGGAGTGTTCCCTCATTTTCAATTTTCTAGAAAAATTTCTGTAGTGATGGTATTATTTCCTTTTTAAATGTTTGGCAAGGGATGCCTGGGTGGCTCAGTTGGTTAAGCATCTGCCTTCGGCTCAGGTCATGATCTCAGGGTCCTGGGATCCAGCCCTGGGTCGGACTTCCTGCTCAGTGGGGAGTCTCCTTCTCCCTCTTCTTCTGCTGCTCCCCATGGTTGTGCTCTCTCTCACACTCGCTCTCTCTCACTCTGTCTCAAATAAATAAAATCTTTTAAAAAAAATGTTTGGCATAATTTACCAATTAATCCATCTAGAGCAGAAGTTTTGTTTATAGGAAGCTTTTGAGCAACACATTCAAATTCTTTAATAGATATAAAGCAGTTCAGGTTTTCTTTCTCTTCTCAGTGAGCTTTGGTAGTTCATGTTTTCCAAGGAATTTATTTCTTCCCTCTAAGTTAATGAATTTTTTGGCATAAAGTTGATGGTATTCTTTTTAATAATAATGTGAACCACTCTTTGTCTACCACGTCCTAAAGAAAAAAAGTGACTGAAAAATATTAAACTTACCCAGTTTGCCGTTCAAGTCTAAAGCCAATAAACATCAAATATACAAAACTTCAGGGAATATAACATCTCTGAGCCCATCTGGGAAAAAAAATTTTTTTTAAGATTTTATGTTTAGGTGATCTCTACACCCAATGTGGGGCTCTAACTCACAACCCTGAAATCAAGAGTCACATGCTTTACTGACTGAGCCAGCCAGGCACCCAGAAAAAAACTTATTTTAAGATAAGTCAACATGACTCAAAAAGAATCTTGGTAAAAGAAGTAAGAATAAAGGTCAGAACTAATCCTTGATAACTATCATAAATATGACTATAGAACAGAATTAAAATGCTATAAATTTTGATAAAGTAAAAGTGACAGTATAAGAAAATGAGGAAGCAAGGGACTAGTGGAAGTATGAGAATCCATATTAACAAAAATTAAATATTAATAACACCAACTCCTTAAGGTTTTCCTAATCTCTCTTTCTTTATATATGAATGGCAGTCATTTTCTTTCTTTTAGTTCAAGGGAAATCAGTTTAATACTGTTTTCATTAAGAGTGGGATATATAGCATAATCATTTTGTTAATAGAATTATGTCCCTATTTATAGCATTTTTTATGTATGGAGAGAGAGTTTTAGAATGATTTTTACCAGCTGATAATGGAGATTATTTCTTAGGGATAAGACTCTGGCTAAATTTGGGGGTCTTACTGTTTTTTAATTTAATTTAATTTTCTTTAATTTGGGGTTTTAAAAAAATCTTCTTGTTTTGCTTTCCTATGTTGCTAAAATTACTTATAATGAGCCTGTATTCTTTTACGAATTGTCATTTTCTCATTGTTCTAAAAATAAGTATCTTACTCTCAGAATTTGGTATTCTTAGATTATGGTACAGTTTTGCATTTTGTTCTAATAATAGTAATATTAAACCCTAAAAAACAGTATTATGGATAATGTGAAATATTATGCTCCCTCATATTTCAATTTTACCTTTATGTTTTTGTTACAAAATTCAACTTGTTAATCCAGCCTTTTGAGTAATAGTGTCCCATTTGAATCCTCTTTACTGGTAAATTATCAGTCAGAGACACAGAAAGTCCTTTTGATTTTTCAAATAAAAGCAGTTTGAGGGAATTGGTTACACAGGTATTAGAGAGGCTGTCAAAACAAAAGGGAGAAGGAGGGTTTTAGAGAAGGAAACAGGAAGAATGGGTAATACTTAAGGATCGGAAACTTGTGTTACATCTAGGCCGGTATCCGTAAGCCTAAACCTGCTATTCCGTCGTTAGAGCCACTGTCACTGTTGGTTCTGGGTCTGCCCGAGAGCGGCTGCTTTGATCAGGGATGGTACACACCGTCTAGAAGGTGCTGTTTCTCCCAGCGTTCTGTTCCCACTATTGTTACAGCAGCCACCAGCGTCTGTCAGTCTTCTGCTTTTGACTTCCTCTACTTTCTGATCTCCCACCAGAAGAAAAGTAGAACCTAACAGAAAGCCAACTCACAAAGGAAGTTGTGAGTCTAGCAAGCCTCCTACAAAACTTAGCTGATCACAGGAGGAGGATTGAGGCCCATGACAGCTCAGTTCACATTAAATTAAATTAGTGTATATAGGTAAACCATATATGTTTATAGTTGTAAAAGTTAAGTTTTATGTTTGTAGTCCTTACGAACTTTTAAAACATAGCCAAAATACCTTTTAATCATCAAAATGATTAATAATCCTGTAATTGAGGAAGGAATGGCAGCATGACAAATGTTTATCTGGACACGGTCCTATCCCTAATGGGTATGCGTTAAATAAATATTTTTTTCCCCTCATAATAAGCAGTGGTTGGAAATACTAGAACTTTTGTAAGACTTAAAATGTTGATATATTATTTAGAGTGAGAGATGGAATTCAGATATCAGAGAATTTATTAATTCTACTCCACCAACCTACTCAGATACACACCTTTATTATCTCTCTTCCAAAATATGCAAGGGATTAAAATCATTGTTCTAATGTGGAAATACAAAATAATAGTGAACCTCAATTTGTTACCTTTTTCACAATTGCAAGTATACTTTATCCTTCTTAGAGGAAATATATTTTCTTAAGAAACTTCAGTGTACCTAAGTTTAAAAATCATGGTTGGGTTTCTGACTTTTCCATTAAAACTTCAACAGATGGACCATTCTGTTCACATGTATCCATACTTATCCATGGAAGATGATCTTAAAATTTCTTGCTTTGCTTTGGAAACCTATATTTGGCTGTTCTTATATGAATTATACCTATATGTGTAAATGGTTACATTTGATATACTAGACATTTATGTCTATTCACACTTAAATAATGTGATGTGTCAAGTAGCAAATTCTCTGAGAACCAAGTTTTTAGTAACAGATTTGGTCTGAACACATTGCTTTACCACAGAGGAGGCTCAGTTTCCATGCGTAAACTGTGTGCTTGCTAGATGGATTGGCTTCAGGACAAATTGCTTACAGTGCACAATTTGCAACCATATTTCTGTCCTTAGTTCCTTCCTGTATACAAAAGTCTGGAGTTGCCTATGTCTGGACAAGGAAGGATTTGAGGATATAAACAGTCTTCATATCTGTGATCATCAGTAGACAAGAAAGAAAAGCCCAAGAAAAGAGCAAGAATCCTCAAGATTCCCCATGTTTCAGGTCCTTCATCAAGGAGTAGTAGAGACACTAGCTAAATCACAGACCCAACCTATGATGTGAGAGTGATAGTCATTCTCAAATAAAGAAGTATCTGAAAATGGACTGTCTATGGAACACATCGTTGTTCATTAGTGGAAGAGCCATAAATAAGCTTCATCCATTCAGGTAGAACTGGAATTTAGTCCAGTCTTTTCTTATCCTCTGCCCCCTTTTCTCTGCTAGAAATTTGTCTCTTACGAAGTTGTAATATAATCATGTTGTATGTTCTTATTTTATCTTAGAGTTCTCTTTAAGATTTTATTATTGTGCATGTTTATGTATTTCAGTGGGAGAACTGAAGTCCAGTCAGTTCAGTATGGCAAAGAAAAAGCAAATAAAGACAGGGTATTTGCAAGGTAAGCCACCTCTATTTCAGTTCTGAATTGTTTTTAAAAGATTAAAATTACTAAAAACCCTTTTTCCAAGTGTGATTACAGAATTATCACATGATCCTTTATTTAATTAAATAATAAGTTATGTTGAGGGAGTAATGAAATAATTTGTCTAGTTTATTCATTCCCTTTTTTTGTTTTTTACATGAGTGAGATAAATCCTGTGCCAAGCATTATAGTTCTGACGAGGCTGAATCAAGTTTTATATTATTAGTGTAACATTTTGTTAGAAAGTTCATTTCCTTCATTTTTTAAAACATTTTTGAAAAACATAATGATTAATTTCATATAGTATTCGGTCCATTTCCGTATTTCTTTAAATCACATTGTTAAGAAGTAAGTTTATTTTTTTGGGTGCCATTTAGTTATCTTGATATTTTTAGGAGCTGTTTATAACCAGTTTGCTTTTTAACAAGTGAAATGACATAGTCAGGTTTATGTTTTAGAAAACAGGTTTATGAGCAGTTGATGGAGAATGGGTTAGAAGTAAGGACTCAGTACTAAGAAACCAATTAGAAGGTTATTGCGGTAATCCAAGTGAAAATAACGAAGGCCTGAACTAAAAGAGTGGTGATGAAATGGAGACTAGGGAACAAATTTGGGAAACATTTTGTAGGTAGAACTATAAGAAGTTGTTAATCAATTAGATGGAGGTAGTGTTAGAGACAGGAGTATCTGGGAAGACCATCAGATTTGAGTGACATAAAATGGACAAGGGGATGCAGGAAAGAGAACAAATTTGTATTGGAAAAAGGAGTTAAACTGGCACAGGTCTAGTTTGAGATGTGTGAGCAACAGTCTTAACAGGATTATCCAATAAATGAAAGGAGGAAGAATGACCAAATTGGTGGCAGCAAATATTTATCGAAGACCTACTCTACTGAGCATTGTGTCAGGCTCTGGGAATACAGTGAAGAACAAAATACACAACTTAGTCCCATGGAGCTTAAATTCTGCTTGGTGCAACAGATATCTGATGTAAGTAAAGGACTGAGGCAGCACAAGGCCATGGAGCTGGAGCCCACTTGTCATGTTGGAGGAAGAGTAGGCAGGCCAGTAATGGGCCAGAAAGAATAAGGCAGCGCTAGAGAAAGTGGTTAGAGAGGAAGATAGGTAGCAGCCAGAACTTGAATGACCCCATGTTAGAAATGGTAAGGACTTTGGATTTAAGGGCTGAGATCCTCCCTTCCTGGAAGGAGTATAAACTGACTTGCATTTTTAACAACCTGGCAGAGTTGTCATGTTTTACAGTGGTAAACTGAAATATTTACAAATACCATGATTTCTAGGATTTGCTTCAGAATAATTGGGGTGAGAGGGTTCAAGTAAATGGTAGGGAGGAAACAAGATTGACCATGATGATGATTGTTGAACCTGGGTCCTGAGTGCAGTGTTTATTAAACTATTCTCTATACTTTTATGTTTGAAATGTTCCATAATAAAATATGGGAGTGGGTGGGGGATCAGTCTGGCTGCTGTGATGGAATCAACTGTATGGGGATGTGAGTGGACAGAAGATAGCCAGTGTATCTAATAGTGGCTAACATTTATTTTGTATTTATCTGTGCCAGGCAATTTTTGTGTATGATCTCACAATCCCCATAATTCAGTGAGGTAAATTCCATTACAGGTGAGAAAACTGAGCACAGCGCATTTGAATAATTTAACTGAGATAGTAAGGGATGTAGCAGGATTCTCATGCAGGCCTCCCAGTTCTTACCCACACTTTTAACCTCTACAGAATAGTTCTTGCTGTTCTGCATGAGATAGGTGAACGCTTGGCTGCCTTCCTGTCTCAGAGCTGTGAAGAATGACTTCCTTTATTGTCTCTCTCCCCCACTAGAATGTAGGCTCTATGAGGGCAGGAGTTTTGTCTGTTTTATTCACTGCACTGGCCCCAGCTCTTGTAGTAATGTGTGCGGTATGGTAGATGTGTTTTAAATGAAGCAGTGTTTTTTCAGTGGAAATGGCTTACAGAGAATAAGTCCTTAAATTAAAAAGTTCATCTCCTTGGTGTCTGCTGCCATTGGAGGCATAAAAAATTAATTATAGAATTTTGCTTTTGGTTTTACTTTAATTTTTTGCTCTTAGTCTTCATCAAAAAGACCTTCCTGTTTTGTGTTTCTTGAGTAAAAGGAGTTTTTGTTTTTCTCTTTTTTCTCTCCAGAAGGAGAAATTGCTTTATTGTTTGTTCTACTTATATAAGTGATACTTCATTATTTTTTTAAAATCCCAACATGCCAATACTTATGTGGCTGGGAAGGTAACTATGATCACAAAATGGCTCTCTCAGGGAGAGGCTTATAAATTGCACTCAGGTCATTCTGACTCCTGTGATTTCCCCAAACATGGGAAACCCAACTGGGTTCAAGGTTTCCCTGTTTAAAAAGGGGAAAATTCCAACATGCCAAATAATATAAAGAAAAATCATAACCCAACATGATTATTTTTAAAAAATTGGGGGGGCACCTGCGTGGCTCAGTTGGTTAAGTGTCTGACTCTTGATTTCGTCTCAGGTAATGATCTCAGGGTCCTGAGATATGGAGCCCCACTTTGGGCTCTACACTGGGCATGGAATCTGCTTAAGATTCTTTCCCTCCCTCACCCCTCTCCCCCCTTAAAAAATTGGTACTTACTATTCATTACTATTACTATATTTTGCCATGTATATCCTCACAGAGATGTGTGTGTGTGTATATATATTTATTTCATTTAAAAATTATTTCATACTTTTTATTGCTTATTTTTTCACTTAATGTATTATAGGCATTTTCTTTTATATTGAAAAATCTAGTCATTTATGTCAGTAAATCTTTAAACAGTTAAATCCTTTTATCCTAAACTGTAGATTTAACTTTATGATTCTTCCTTTTAACCTGTCACTTCCTTGCCTCTGGAGTTGGAGTCACTGCTAAAACTATCTGACTCTTTGCCAGTACTATATGCCTTGAATGCTTGTAAAGATAAATAATAAAGGCTATTTCTTTTTTCTTTTTTTTTTTTTTTTAAAGATTTTGTTTATTTATTTGACAGAGAGAGACACAAGCAGGGGGAGGGGAGAGGGAGAAACAGGCTTCCCGCAGAGCAGGGAGCCCTATGTAGGGCTCCATCCCAGGACCCTGAGATCATGACCTGAGCCGAAGGCAGACGCTTAATGACTGAGCCACCCAGGCGCCCTAATAAAGGCTATTTCAAGTTCCTTGGAGTAAGGACATTTGAAACAAAAAATTAAAATGTGTTTGAATGATAAAATTTACGTGCATTGTTTTTCTTCATTCCTAGCTTAGCCTCATCCTCATTTGTGTATGAATAATCTATCCAAAAGGAAGACTGTCAGTGACAATGCCTTGAGGGATTTAGCTGGTCAGGGCTAGATAGCATTTTGCTGGGATAAACTTACTTGAATTTGAATGATATAAATCGTCTCAACATTTGTTCACTGAATTTGATTTATTGTTATGTCTTGTTTTTAGATTCATGAAGGAAATATTGTCATTTCTCTATTAAATATAAACCTTAGTGTCATATTAATGGTTATTTGGTTACTTGATTATTAGGGAAGGGAGAAAAGAAAAAAATTAAGAACAGAGATGCCTACTCTAATAGACATGGCTACTGAAATTATTCAGATCTTCCCTCTTTCTTAGATACCCTTGTTTCCAGTTAGAAAGTGCTAAGCACCTGTAGGAAGGTAAAATATACAGAAAGTGTTTTTGAAATTCTTTTCCTTGAAATTTCTCAAGAATGAAATAATTTACTTCCTCTTAACTTTGTTGTTTTAATATAAAAGGTATTCAAGTACTTAGTACTACACTTTATTTGTATCATTTCTTTCAGACTTGTTAAAATCAAAATCAATATTTTTCTGATTCTTTTCTGTTAAAAATGCATCTAACAAAATACTTAGCTTTTTTCTTCTTTTCCTAACAAGCTTAAAGTTTTTTTCTTGCTTGATATTTATAAAAATAGTGAACATGAGGGGTGCCTGGGTGGCTCAGTCGTTAAGTGCCTGCCTTTGGCTCAGGTCATGATCCAGGGGTCCTGGGATCGAGCCCCACATTGGGCTTCCTGCTCCATGGGAGGCCTGCTTCTCCCTCTCCCACTCCCCCTGCTTGTGTTCCCTCTCTCGCTGTGTCTCTCTCTATCAAATAAATAAATAAAATCTTTTTTAAAAAAATATAGTGAACATGATTTGATAATTAGTTCCACTGTAGTATGACATCCTCATATGAACACCAAATTATAGATGTATTTATTAATGTTAATATCCCATGCAAATTACTTTATAAGTTTTAGTGTTTTAATATTTTGATCATATGTGACCTTGAGAAATATTCACAATTATACCTGCATCTTAGTTCTTCATTTTGTATATGCATTATTAAAATGAGAAATTGTTTAATAGGTTATTTTATAAAACAAATATTAACGAATAGTAGGCTAAAATTCCAATATGAGAAGCCTCAAATAACTGTCCCAATTCTTTTGTTATGTGGAATTCCGTGAATCCTCCTCTGAATAAGAAGTCATCAACAGGGATAAAGTTGCATTTAATGGTATTGTTTTAATGATCTTGCCATCTCCAAAAGACTTAAGCTTCTCTGGGGTTGTTTTTGTAATATATCACAATCTTGTGATGACCTGAGACCTGATGCATATCTACCAAAATACTCTCATGGTTTTAGCAATTGTTGAGTTATTCTGTTAAATTATTAGAGAATTCTAGAGTTCTTGTCCACTTCTTAGAATTTTAATTGGTGGTATATAGATATAAAAGGTTTCTTCTTAAAGTTTCAGTGTAAGATGGTGTTTTCAGCAATAATAAATAAATAATTTTTCCCCCCAGTATGTCTCCTCTTTGAATTGCTTTCACACTTTTTCAATTGTTGTATAAAATCTAAGAAGAAAAGCAAAAGAATGTTCACATGCAACAGAAGAATACAGTGCCATGGTCAGAAAATATATTTACCACATTGCAAACACTCTGATGAAGTGTGGTATTTTTTTCTCTGAAATTTCCACATTCAACAGGAAATATAGACAGCAAGCTTGAGTGGGTGGGTCTCTGAGGTTAAAGCTGTTAATAAAACACTTGAAATTTAGTTTTAAAAAACGCAGAGCATTTCCAACCATGTTTAGTTTATTAACAACAGTGAAGTGTTCTGATGCTCTATACTGGGTGAGTATAGCTAGATTTTTTCCTCCTTCAAATGATTTTTTCCCTCTCTTTGAAAACGTAAGTAGTTGATCTATGATTATGAACTCCTGCAGTTTACATTTAGTAGTCTAATATATGGGAAAGAATAGCTTGTTAACTTTGAGAATTGGCTAATAGAAGAGCAGTAAATGCTAAGGTTTCTTTTAGTACTCTTCATTTTAAAAATCAAATGCATGAAATATTCTTTTTTTTCCATCTTATTGTGACTAAAGGAATATGAGTTTGCACAGCAATATTAGGATGTTGGGCTAAATGGTGTCCTGATTGTCTTCAAGTAGGAAAACCCTATAATTTGAACTCATGATAATGGGAAATGTTCATCCTTATATTACTTTGAATTCATTTATGAAAAATGAGATCTGAGCCAGTGCCTTTTTTTTTTTTTTTAATCAATAGCATTACATCTGTTTTAGGAAATGATGTTCTTAAATTAAGGAGATGTCATTCGGCCAAACTAAAAAAAGGTTTTGGCTATGAATACCCAAAATGATGGGGCACTTGTGTGGTTTGGATTCATAAGTAATTTAAGATACTTGTGGTTTAATTAATAGACTAAAATATTGCACTGAAAATTTAGATACTCATAAATCATAAAATGCAGGAGGTAGGGAAGGACCTAGGGTCATACATTGTACTGGTAAATTTAGATATTTAGACATAGATACTTACATGCTTTGTCTCATGAAAGGTCAAAACTAGTACTGTCTACTTACCATTATTTTAATGCTTCGTACTAGGTCTATAAATTTTATTGAGTATTCTTGGTGTTACCGTGCTTTTTAGTCCAGTCAATTTCTATGTGCTTCAGTGAATTTATTAGTGAAATATAAAACTATCAGCTTACAAGATTATTTGTTATGTGTTTTTATGTAAGTAGTGTAATTCCTTATATTAACCTTCATATTAACTCTTCATGTCAAAAAGTAGATGTCATACATTTTCCATGAATTTTGGCCACTATAAGAATTTGAATATTTTTTAATATTCTACAAAGGTCTGTATCTTTTCTGAAAAGAGTACTTAGTTCTCATTTTCATCACTGTGGTAGCTGACAATATATAGATAGGTAATAAAACGTAGTCTTCTACTCCTTACCACAAGACAGAATGTTAACCCAGATGTTTTTTTAAAAAACAAAACAATCCACTAGCCTACTACTATATGTAAAATGTAAAAAATTATAATATACATAATTATCATTTTCACCCCATCCTTTATTAAGGTAGAGGATCAGGGTGTAGATTTAAGGGTATTTAGAAGATAATATGCTGGCAATTGTTTAATACATCACAAGATGAGCTAAAGTTTCAGAAACTCTGGAATAGGCAATATTTATAATGTTGCTATAAATGAGGTAACTTGGTAGCCAGCTACTCCTTTGCTTTTTTCCTTTCTTTTCTTTTTCTCCTCTTCCCTATTTTCTCTTAAGTATGTCTTAAGATATACTCTTAGCATGTCTTTCCTTCCTTCTTCATACAAAGCAGATTTAATTTCTTAGGAAATTATGGGGTAAATAGCCACTAAATGCATTAATTTCTTTTAAGTAAACTATGTTTACTCATCTAGAATATGATCTATTAAGACAAATTCTAAGATTTGGTTTATAGTTGAGGGTATAAAAATAAAAATTTTTACATATCAAATTATTTCTGCAGATCCCCAAGTAAGCCCTTGGCACGGAAATTAATGGATTGGGAAGTGGTAAGCAGAAATTCAATATCTGATGACAGGTTAGAAACACAAAGCCTTCCATCACGATCTCCACCTGGAACTCCTAATCAGTAAGTACAGACTGACTGTAGACTTGCCTGAAGATCAAAATACGTAAATCTTTACATTTAAATATCTTAGTCAAACATGATTTTTGTTGCTCCAGAGCATTATTTCCGCATAGCCTGAAGCTTACTGCATGAGTGGCATGGAAAAGTCTCATCGAATGAGGGAGTAGAACATTGAACAAGGATGCTCACTTTCCTGTACAGAGTGGGTGTCTAGCCAATAAATCAAGATCTATTAGTAATAGAGTTAAAATCTGGAAATGTGGTTGTTACTGACATAATCCTTTTTCATGTGGCTCTCCAGAATTCCTAGGGAAGCATATATTGTTTGAAAATGCTAAATGATTGTGATCATCTTACCTAACCTCCTACCCCAACTGTTCCACCACTTTCTTTGGTCTGGAAAAAGGGGTTTCCAACATAAGTTCCCACAAGCTTAGCCATATCTGTGCTAAGAAGCCTATATTACTCACCACTTACTGTTTATATACTTCATTCTAGTATTTCTCATAAAAACTATGGTTTGGTATAGATAATAATAAGATAATCAACTTGTACTGGCTGAAGATGTTAATTTTATAATGTATTAACAAATATATTGTGTATAATATATGTATGTAATTAAATAATGATAAACAGATGTCAGCGTATTCATAGACTTTGTTCACCCAAAAGGTTGAATACAAAATATTTGAGTTTTGGTATGGAATATAATATTTGAAGTAGTCTAACTTCAGAAATATTTTAAACACATTAATATCCAATAAGTGTGTACTACATTCTACTTTTTTAAAAGATTTTATTTATTTATTTTAGAGAGCACAAGCAGGGGAAGGAGCAGAGAGAGAGGGACAAAGTAGACTCAGGGCTGGACAAGTAGACTCAGCACTGAGCACAGAGCCTGATGTGAGGCTTGATCCCATGACACCGAGATCACAATCTGAGCTGAAATGAAGAGTTGGACACCCAGCCAACTGACCCACCCAGGCGCCCCTGTACTAAATTCTAAAAGTTGTGTCACCAGTGGGTGTTTTTCAGCCCAAGAATAAACTTTTACCATAACAAAAGTAAAGTTTGGTTTAGAGAACATTACCTCATACCTATGTGTCTTCCTAGCTGCTAAGCTGCTAAAAAAGATAGACTCACAAGTTTTTCTCTTACTAATTGCAGATTGCTAAATCATCTTTCTTTATAAAATACTGCATATGTTTGGAGGTTAATCAGCTATTTGAAGAAAATCCAGAACCATCTTTTTTGGTCCATTTTCCAGCCACGCATTTCTCCATTTGTTACTAGTACCACTAAATAATTAGAGCAGATTACAGAAGACAGAGGAAAGATGATTGAGTTAATTAATTAGCAGTAGCTCTGATTAAATTTCCTAGGTGATGAAACAGTTTTAGATATGATCTGAAAAGTTTTTTTTCTCAATCCTAAAGAGACAATATAGTGTGATGGTTAAGAGCATGGGCCTTGGAATCACTGAAAGTTTGAACTTTGAGCAAGTTAATTAATCTCTTTGTCCCATTTTCCTCATCTACGAATTATAATAAGTGTCTTTCTTGTAGTATTGTTACAAGGGTTAAATGAGGTGATATATATAAAATGCTTAGAACAATGCCTAGCACATAATAAGTGTTCAAATGTTAGCTGTCATAATTAATAATAATGAAAATAATAATTCATGTGACTGTCACTTATGTGGATGGAAATATGTTATACATTATTTATTTTTAGGACTTTTAAGAAGTCCCATAAATAAAAACTTTTATAAGGATTAAAAAAGAACACACACCAGAGATATTTCTGAATTATTTATCCTCTCCGTTTACTTTATACAGGTATACCTTTGAGATATTGCAGATTTGGTTCCAGACCACTGCAATGAAGCAAGTCACTGAATTGCTTCTATTTCTTAGTACATGTAGAAGTTATATTTACACTCTGCTGTATTCCATTAAATGTGCAACAGCAATGTGTAAAAAATCAGTGTGCATGCTTTAATTAAAAACACTTTATTACTAAAAATGCTAACTACCATCTAAGCTTTCAGTGAGTCATAATCACTGATCACAGATTACTGTAACAAAAACAGTAATGATAAAATCTGAAATAATGCAAGAATTACCAAAATGTGACAGAGACATGAAGTGAACAAATGCTGTTGGAGAAATGGCACCCAATAGACTTGCTCCATGCAGAGTAACTGCAAACCTTCAAAACCTTTTTTAAAAAAAGAAGAGGGACGCCTGGGTGGCTCAGTCAGTTGGGTGTCTGATTCTTGATTTTGGCCCAGGTCATGATCTTGGGGTTGTAGTATCAAGCCCCGCATCAGGCTCTGCACTCTCTGGGGAGTCTGCTTGAGATTCTTTCCCTCTGCCCCTCCCCTGCTCATGCACTCTCTCTCATTCTCTGTCTCTCTGAAAGAAATAAATCTTTTAAAAAGAAGAAGAAGCAATAAAGCAAAGTGCAATAAAATGAGGTATAAATGCTCTAATCCTATAAATGCTGATTAAGACACTAAGTTGTAGTGACTAAAGCCTTCAGACATTAAGGTTGGTAGATATAATAGATTGAACAGGTAAAACCCTTGTGGCAGATCACTGACTGTAGTTCAGATCGTAGACTTCACTTCCTGTTTGGTATTCTTTCTGTTTGAATCATACTATCTTTGTCAGAGATTTTGCTTAGTCAGTGTGGTTAGTGTTAAAACATATACCCACTTTCTAATGTAATCAAATAAGTAAAAAACTGGAAAAAGTTGAATTAAACCACATTTTCACTCAATTTTTCTTCCTCTTTATGTAGTCGAAATTCTGCATTCACACAAGAGGGAACCCGGTTACGACCATCTTCAGTTGGTCATTTGGTAGACCATGTGGTTCACACTTCCCCAAGTGAAGTATTTGTGAATCACAGATCTCCATCTTCAACACAAGCTAATAGCATCGTTCTGGAATCATCACCGTAAGACCTTTTTCATTAGCTTCCTTCTTATAAATAATAATGCCGCAGGGTGCCTGGGTGGCTCAGTTGGTTAAGCGACTGCCTTCGGCTCAGGTCATGATCCTGGACTCCTGGGATCGAGTCCCGCATCGGGCTCCCTGCTCAGTGGGGAGTCTGCTTCTCCCTCTGACCCTCCCCTCTCTCGTGCTCTCTCTCTCTCATCCTCTCTCTCTCAAATAAAATCTTTAAAAAAAAATAATAATAATAATGCCCCAGATTGTTTTATTTGAAATAATCTGGGAAGTTAGGGTATTTGATAGAAGCATTTATTTATGCAGGGTTTTAAAACTTTTATGTATTTGTAAATGTGCTTATTTATTCCTGAGAGTTCTCTGTATTCACCTCCCAACCCCCCCAACCCCCCCCCCCAAAAAAAACCCTCTTCTTTTGTTGACTTAGTATGTTCTTAAACCTTTAGTTTCTACAGATAATGTAGCACTGTGGTCAAGCAGTAAAATACTAAAAGGTAGAGTTTTCTTAATATTTTTCAGGAAGGGAACCATAAGAATGAATAGACAATGTGGGAAAAATTAAGTAGCAAAGGAGAACTAAGTAAGATGACCATCGTACTGAAAATAACCGTTTTTAAAATTCGTTCCTACCTCATATTACATACTGGTATATAAATTCAGCTTCATAATTCAGTATTTATACCCCATCAGTTTAATGCACAACATGTTTACCCTCACAATAACATGCAATGTCTTGATTTATTGGTTTATATAATGCAGTTAGTCCATATGCAATAAAAACAGTGTGAGAATTAGGGGAAAAAGGGGCGCCTGGGTGGCTCAGTCGGTTAAGCGACTGCCTTCGGCTCAGGTCATGATCCTGGAGTCGCTGGATCGAGTCCCGCATCGGGCTCCCTGCTCGGCGGGGAGTCTGCTTCTCCCTCTGACCCTCCTCCCTCTCATGCTCTCTGTCTCAAATAAATAAATAAAATCTTTAAAAAAAAAAAAAAAGAATTAGGGGAAAAAAGTAAAATTCTTTATAAGGTACATAGATAAGTAAAAAGATTAATGTTGAGAAGAAGGAAGGGGTATAGGATGTAGTGACTGTGATCAGGGCTGAAGAAAGAAGGGGTCTGAGAGTGATGGGTGGAAGAGTAGATGGACTGATTAGCAAAGCAGGTAGGTATAGGAGCTTCAGAACCATGTGACAAGATATAGAGGAGGTGTGGTTGTCCTCACTATAGGGCCAGCCAAGGAAGACTGGCTAAGCTATTAAGACAAGTGGAATTTGAGTCTCGGTAACATATCTTGGTAAAACATTTGATTGTGTGTGTACAGTAAAAAGGATGGAGGAGTAGGAAGGACACATACTACACAGTGACACATGTGGAGAATGAGTTGACAGGAGACAAGGCTGGTGGAGATTTAATTTTTTTTAAAGATTTATTTGTCAGAGAGGGAGCGCTCGCTTGCTCACAAGCAGGGGGAGTGGCAGGCAGAGGGAGAGCTGAGCAAGGAGCAGGAAGCGGGACTCAGTCCCAGGACCCTGGGATCATGATCTTAGCCAAAGGCAGACGCTTAACCAGCTGAGCCACCCAGGCATCCCTAATTTTTGATTACTTTAAAAATTATCATTGTATACTTTGATTTTTAATAATTATATATTTTCTAATTCTAAAACTTTAAAAAGTACAGTAATTAAGCACATGATCGAGATGTTAATTGATTAAATTTGAAAATGATATACTTTTAGCACATAGAAATAAACCATATAGAGGAATCTCAAAAGCCTGTCTTAATGCAGAACAAAACAGTATAACTCCCAGGACCTAACCAAATTATCTCAGTCCATTTTTGAAGAGCCCTTTTCATACAGACACACATATATGTATGTATACATACACATAAAATTGAGTATCTCCATATGTACATTTTATAGGTTCATCAATCCATAAAAACCTTTGTTCTGGTTTTCTGACCTTAAATGGAGATGCAAGTTCAGGACAGTTTGGCATTGTGCAGGTTTTGCTTTCCCATCCTGATCCACAAGAATTTCAAATGCTTGGACCTTTATCTTCAGACATGTATTTTATGAGGCTTATGTGTTTCTATTCAGTTTTGAATCTCTTAACACTGCATTTAAAATTCAGGTCTGAAAGAGGTCTGAAAAGATAAGCTTAATGATAAATGAATAACTTACATTAGTTGCTTACAGTCAGCTTCAGAAATTATCTCACTGTTCCAAGACAACTCAGTGAAATAGGAAAGACATGTAATCCCCATTTTGTAGACGAGAAAGCCACACTTAACAGGACTTGTCCCAATTTACATAACTAAAGGTCAGGTCTTCCCTACCTGAGCCAACCAGCAGAACTTGGTGTCTAAGACAAGGCTTTGTTAATTGATCAGTTGGTTGGTTGGTTGCTTGGCTGGCTGATATTTGCAATCCAGAGAAAATATTTTACAACTTGGAATCCATAGGTTTTAGTTTTGGCTAAATGTGGAAAGAATTTGGACAATGTGTTGGATGAAGCACAGAGCATTTCAACATGTATTGAAACAAATCTTGAGATCATCTCACCAGTTCCCTGTTTTTTGAGTACAGGGCCTTTGAGATGAAACCTGGGTCCAGACCTCAGTCACTTGGTAAGGTCACCTGCTTCACAAGGAGAAAACACTATTAACTCATAGGTGTGTTTATTATGGAAACAAATAGGAGTTTGTTTGTACTGCTTAGAATAAAGTTACCATTTTTAGGCAGGGGTGATTGAGACTACAGTCTGCCATTTCCTTCCTTTCTTTAAATGTTTCACAGAAAACTAGACTGTTTCAGTTTGTGATTTTCTGAGAAAAACAATAACCCTCAATTAATGTGAAAATACTTAACAGGTGTTTTAGTAAATTCACACCACAAATATTAATATACTCCCATTAATATGTAACAGGGAAGCTGTAGAAACGTCCGTTTCTACAAAATCATCACGAAGCATCTGAGTTGGGTGGTTAAGATTTTATTTTTTATTTTCATACAAATTGCTAAAGACAGCAACGTCGAGCTGCTTTGACTGCAGAATAAGCTGCTTTCACTGCTGCTATTGAAGCATTCATGAGGAAATTTAAAGCTGACTGGACTGAAATAAATCAGCAAGGTTTTTGCCTACCTGGCTTCATTGACAGTTTTAACAAATCTTTTGTTGCTATGTTACAATATATTGCTCTCTTGACAACAAAGTGCACTTTAACATTTTCATTATTTGCTCTTCACTTAACATTTTTTAAAATGTCAAAGTTGAGGATAAGCAAGTTATTTGTATTGAAAAACCCCAATATGAGAGTTGGGCATTGGAACACTCTTAAAATTATATTCCCATCTCCCCTTCTCCTTTCTTAATGTCCAAAAGTTTATACAGGTAATCTGTCCACAAAATTTTTTGTGTGGGTAAATTTTGAACATTATGTTTCAAGCTCTGGTCCCATTCAATGCCCTCTCCCATCATTTTAGGCAAATTATTGGTTTTAAGTATATTAAAACCATTGAGTTAGAAATACGTTCTCAAAGTAAAAATACATGTTATTAGAGCACAGATCTCTATTGATCTTGCATTCTCTCCATTTAAATATAAGTCGTTTTTATTAGAACTTAAAATACAGAGCAGTATTACCACTTACAACCAAATGGCATGATAGAAAATAGTCGTGTTCAGGATGTGCTCTGATAAGTTCTGTTGAAGCCTCAGATACTGTCAGGAGGGTTGCTTAGCTTTTGTATATTTTATATACTGGCTTCTGAGAAGCATTTTATTTGGAGAAGAGTTTACTGCTACGTAGTGTTTGGAAACCTCTGAGTTAAAATAACTTTGCTCCTGCCTTTTACAGTTGTTTTGTTTAAAGTGCAACTATAGCATAATGTTCAGAGCACAAGCTCTGGATTCAGGCTGGGTTTAAGACTTGGTTCCACCACTTCCAGTTATGTGACCTTGGGTGAGTCATTTTATCTCTGTAAGCCTCAATTTCCTCACCTGTAAAAAAAACAGGATGGTAATATTTACCTCATAGGGTTGCTGTGAACAGTAAATGAGATGTATAATTTCTCTGTTAAGCAGAGAAAAGGTGCTTAGTAGATGTTAACTATAATAATTATATAATTCTGGTTAATTTGGGGGGATATACTGGCAGCCTTTAAGAATATTATCAGCCATTTGGGCGCCTGGGTGGCTCAGTTGGTTAAGCGACTGCCTTCGGCTCAGGTCATGATCCTGGAGTCCCGGGATCGAGTCCCGCATTCGGCCTCCCTGCTCAGCGGGGAGGCTTCTTCTCCCTCTCCCACTCCCCCTGCTTGTGTTCCCTCTCTCGCTGTCTCTCTGTCAAATAAATAAATAAAATCTTAAAAAAAAAAAAAAAAAGAATATTATCAGCCATTTATCTGTCTTCATGTTTGAAATATAGATTTCTGGTCGAATACAATGAGGAATTCTCCAAATTCTTAGCTTTATCCTTAGGCCCTAATCACAAGAGACTCTACAGATTTCATAATCCTGAAATATCAAATCCATTTCCTTGAGCCGTTTTGCCTGGACTGTCCCCGTCTAGTCTTTTCTAGTGAGTCACCACAGCTTTGTCCGCACTTCATCAATTCCTTTCACTTAGTCTTTAAAGATTTGCCTTCACTTTGCTCCTCTGAGCTACTAACAGTGAAAACTTAATGTCCTCACTCAGCTTAACCCAATTCCCATGCCAATCTTGATCAAGTCTAGCAACTTACAGTTGACCCTTGAACAACATGGGGTTAGGGACACCAACCCCTATATAGTTGAAAATTCACATACAACTTTTGACTCCCCAGAAACTTAACTGCTAATAACCTGTTGTTGACCAGAAGCCTTAGTGAGAATATACACAGTTGACTGACACATATTTTATATGTTACATGTAATATATACTATATTCTTACAATCAAGTAAGCTAGAGAAAAGAAAATGTTAAGAAAATCATAAGGAAGAGAAAATACATTTACAGTACTGTACTGTAAAAAATCCACATGTATGTGAATTGGCAGAGATCAAACCATGTTGTTCAAGGGTCATCTGTATTATGGATTCTGCAAATACCAGACTGCTCCAGGACAAGGAAGTAAAAGAACCAAAGGAGGTATGATGGGAGGAGATGACCGAGCCATGGGGATTCAGAGGGCACACTGTATTTGATGCTGTACTTGTGGCAGCAAGACTAATTATATAGGTCGCTGGGCTACTGTAGCTGCAGTATACCTAACCTGCTCTCCACCTCTGGCAGATGTCTCCAGTACTCACTTTGGGAGCTAAGGTCGGGGACTTGGAGTTTGGTTGAAACCAGGCATTTCAGGTCTGGGACCTTGATTCTGAAATAGATTCCTACTGATACAGTAATATGACATTTTCAATTCTGTTATCATATTTATCTTATCCCTGAGAGTTTATATGCACTTTTTAAATTTTCTTGAGCATTAACTAATAATCAGTCTGCAGTGGTGTTTACTTTGAAATACTGTGAATGTCACTATAAATTAGCCAACATGTCAAGAAGTCTGAATTTTGAATCAGAATTTTATCTACATTTTACCTAGTATAAGTAAAGTATAGTAGGGTTACTGCCCAATGAGAACTTGGATAGCATTAGTGACTGTAGTTGAATGAGACATGAGCTCCTGGTATGCATCTTAGAACATTAGAATCTTAAAATGAGCCATCAGTCCTGGCAAGTTTGCATTACCATGTAACAAGAAAATACGGGTTTTGTTTGTTTTCTAGTCTTAAATTATAATAAACTTTATTCTTCTATGAGTGGTATGTATATACAGTTGAATCTTCAGCATTGTTTTTTTAATTCACAATTTTCAGGGTTTACTTTGCCTGTTTTTCTTTTTTATAAGTAACAAAATAATCCCTTTAGGTTTATACTTCTTTCTATATCCTCCTTGTAGCAGATCTTTTCTAGTTCCCATCTTTAAATTAAGCCAAAGGATTACCTTTACTTGTAAGATGTCAGCCAGAGCTCTGATGCCCACTTTTTTCCTTGGTTCCTATCTCCCTAGTCCTGTCTGAACTATCTGATAGATGCTGGCTTTCTCTTTAAGTCATAGGTCCCTTCTCTCAGGGGAATTATTTCTAATGTGGCTGTGTTCCACTGTGCTGCCTGAAGCATAATGAATCATGAGCTGTTTCTTAAAGTGGCCTTTCAAAACTGACCACTTCTACTCACATTTCTTTTTTTTTCTTTTTTTTTTTTTTATTTATTTGCGAGAGAGAGAATGAGAGACAGAGAGCATGAGAGGG